GAAAGACACACATACAAAATGCTATGGGTGCAGTTCGAAAACGTGTAGAGGAGCGGGCATAGAATAAAATTTTGACCTCGCGTTTTCTAAGAATATATTTACCCGTCGCGTCCACAGCTACACCCATGCAAGATGCTCGACAATATCATAAGAACTGTGAATACGTTAATCATATACATATTTATACAGCATCTATATGTACAGTTATGTATGTGTGTATTAAAATAAGCCTTCCGTTTGTACCGGGACTGGGGCTACAATTTGGTGCTTTGTGGCCACAGTTCGACCGGCACCACGGAAAGTTACTTCCTAGCCTAGCACTTAGTTCACTATGTGAACACTCATAGATCAAGCTTGGAATTAGAATATTTCATACTGGCAGTGCAATCGACTTATGCACGATCCGTACCTATTATTGTTTTATTACACAATTATTAATGACAGATATGTTGCACAAGAGAAATATATACAAGAAAGCGGACTTCGAAGATTTTATAATTGAAAATGTACTCACGTTTAGTGTGGCATTTCTCTATGTAAAATCACGAAACTTGTCAACCACACTTTCCTACAGCACTCGAGAAACCAACGTCTCGCACTAAATCATACAATTACTTAACAACACCAGTCAATTAGTTCTTAGCATATGGACAGAAGCAGACTTCCAACAGTGAAAGCGAGCCCATCAACCCTAGAAAGTTACATTATATAATAACATCTATAAGTATCTCGCGCCTTCAAGGCGTCAAACCATAAGTCGATCACAGAATAAAAAGCACTATCTCAGAACTAGCTTATTGTTTACAGTTAAACAGTACTTTAATAACAAAAATAGGTATTTGGTAAAAATATTTTCTTGCCATTTCTTAACCGATACTCATTTTTACTAATGTTGTGCTAAAATTTTCCAACCCAAGTATCAGTTTTAGTGGAACCAACAAAGCGAAGCCACTCTAAAGTTAACTTAAATATTATATTACAATGAAATGAGGCGTAGGTTTCAAGATTAATTATTACCAAAACGTTCAAAATATAGTCTATTACACTAAGCGATAAACACAATGTTACAATGTTAATAAACAAAACAGTATGATATGATGAATTAAAAATACACTTCAGTACTACCACCACTAAACAATATTGATAAGTAGAGAGGGAACATTATTATAGGGGCAAAATTCCAAAGTTTTTTTTTAATTTGTTACAGAATTACCACATCATTTTAAAGAGTTGTGGTAATAATGTAACCAGTACTAAAATAAATGAATTCTAACAATAATGATGTGAGATCTACAAAACAAACTTAAATTAATGCATACACGAAATGTCACGTACAAAATATTCAAGTAAATGATGATATCACTTTTCTTATGTCCCCATTTTATTATATTATAAAATCTGTTTCATTTATTATATGAACACAAAATTAATAATTTAGAATATTAGAGATTGATTACACTATAATAAGTATTTCTAATTCAAATTCTATTTATATTACACAGTTACTAAGAATTTATTATCAACACGCCTGAATCCAAAACGTGAACACTTTTTATACAAACGAAAAAGCCCGCTGCTTAATTTCTCTAAGTTCCGATTCTGTAGACGATCACGCGCCTCTTTTATCACACCTGGCATAATAAATCTCTTTCTCTATACTGCGTACTTCCAACAGGTAAATACTTAACGCAAAACGTTTTGACATAATTCATGTCATACCATCAAAGATAATTGAAAAAACTTTTCAATTATTTAATTCAATCTGGCAATAAAGTGTTGAATTACAGAATGTCATCTTTCAAACTAGAGGTCGCGATCAATCTAAGGGTCTAGTCCTAGTCTATTAAAAATAGCCAGTTAAAATTCCTTTTAAAATATTAACCTTACAGGAAATAACTAAATATGTGATAGTACTTAATTCGACGGATGAGTATGTTTTTTCACCTTTAAGTATGAAAACACTACACACTAGAAGTTAACAGATTTCCAATTAAATTTATTGGATTGTTAAAAAGGTACACTTACACGAAGCCGACGCGCATGACTTAGACTTCTTACGTATAAGGATTTGATTATTTAATTTATTGACTCTATAATAAGGACAACGTTCCATTATAATTTTTTACAGAATATTTAAAATAACTGATCAAACTAAGTGTTATATTCAAATTGTTTTTGTGTATAATTAAATTCGAAAGTAAATCCAGTCATAAAAATACAATTGACCGTTGAAAAATTAGAATGAAACTACAAAATATTGCATGTATATCAGCTCAGACCAAGAAAGTAAGATAGACAGAACACTATGTATATTTATCGTGACGCCAAGCCATTCTCAACTTATTAAAAAAAAATTATGCTTCATCAAATAGGTCAAAATTCTACGAAATTGAGATATAACCAACCTAGTGACACATGCGAATGCGATATCTTTAATCTTTAAATCAATTTGTAGCTTCTGGCTTGACTGGAGTTGTAAGTAAACAGACACCACAAATTCTGTTAACGCAGTTTTGTTTTGGTTAAAACCAATATAATATTACATTTAAAATGTGTCATAATACGTATGTACCAATTAACTTTTTAAATAAATGTCTGCTTCGAACAATTGAGTTATCTCTGCATATCATTAGGTGGGTTGTTGTCAAACACATGTAGAAAGGTATCGCAAATTTTGCGTCACATATTTGGGGACGCGCGGGTGCGCAAAACGAAAAGGATTTTCAGTGTAGTTTGTCGATTAAATGTGTTAACATGGCGTTTTAGTAACTTTTTGAAATCGGATACTGGCAACTGACTGATGACTGGATTTATAGTTCAACTAAAATATATTGATACTTAGACTTTTTATATTTAAATAATATTATATATTTAACATTAATACCTTTTTAAGACTTTCTCGTCTAGCTATAACCAATATTAAAAAAGGACAGATAAATCAAGGCGATGAAAAATTCAATGGCAGGTTGAATATTTAGAAAGTGGTTTGGACTGTGACTCGTAATAAATATGTTTTTGATTTTAGTCTCCTTTTTTCTTGTGATATATTGCACCTAAAATCACATAATCTTCTTGATCATTCCCAGTTCGTAGCATGATTTCTAAATTAAAGATAAAATATTGTAAATAAAAAAAAACCTAAAGATCTTCAAATCAAGTATCTAGATTTGTCAGTGGTACTATACACTTTTGATAGTGCTGACAAGGGTTTTTGAAAGTCATTATTTTCGCATGTAAACACATTTTATTGACAGACTATATAATATTGTATATGTAAACAGTGTTAAATGTATGTGCAAATTTTTCTTACAGGTTACAGGTCAGTAAGTGGTTTATGCTTGTAATGAATTATTAACGTAATAAGCATAGTTCAACAAAATCATCAGATCTCGTTGAAATTCATATAGCGTGACTTTGCAACTGTACTCGGTAAATAAAAATTCGGTTTACGTTACTTAAACGCCCTTCCGACAATGACTGATAATTAACATCACTCCGCCTCCCGTTTTGTTGATCTGAAGCCCAGACTACGAACTTTTGATAGATATAAACTAATGAATAATCGCGAGTCAACTTATGTACTTCATAATTTATTGCTCTTTTAACAAAACAAAGTCCACAAAATAAGTTTTTATGTAACTGAAATTAGCAATCTAGTAAAATTTTGCAGCACCAACATTAAGATGTTAATATTGTGCAAATTATATCTGTATTACTACTGTCAGTCCATTTATTCATCTGTACACGATATTACTGATTGCTCGAGAAATCTCGACACGCAAATGGATGTGCCCACCCTCCTCAGAGGAGCGAACTGTATGGCGAAGATAGCTCACAAGTGGAAACTCAGCGTCAGAAGAAGAGCACGACGTCCAATTCAAATTGCAACAATATATGGACAACGAGTTAAAGAGCTGATGGCTTAACATGGAATGAAGTCCAATCGATGAGCAAAATAGTGGGAAATTGAACAAGCTCATTAAGGCCCTTTGCACCAATAGGGTGAAGATATTACTGTCAGTAAATTCAATATCAGATGATATAGTTCACAGTCCATTATTTATGTTGAGTAGTTGGCAGCATCACATCATCATACTACATTATATAATTTTAATATACTACTTTTAGTAGTGTCTATGAACTAGTCCGGCCTTCAGTTTTATTATAAGTTGAAGTTAAATTACTTTATTGTTTAAATAAGATGCTTATGTAACTACAAGTAACAATATCATCATCTGCTATTTTCATACAATTTCTTTGGAAAACTTGATTCACCAGCTTTTTATGACGTTATTCTGTCCGATTTCATTTCAAGGCAATAACTTCTGAATTTTTTTGTTGTTTAATTTATTATTATTGTATTAATACTACAAGTGTACTAACTAAAAACATGGCGGTGAAGTTTGCACGAGAAATTCCAATAAAATATTAACTGACCCTATGGTTTATACTTTTTGTTATATTGAAAATGGCTTACAAGAGTCTCAGCCTAGCTATTTCTTCAATATTTCAGTAACCAATTTTGGTAAGAATTGATTGCCGTGTAAAATTAATTTTCTTAACTTTAAACACGTAATTTTATTTAGTTTTATTTTGTTAGGTTTTTATGATTTTTATTGAAAATTACATTTTTATTCTGACACTTCTGAAAATTATTACTTTAAAAAGTTCATGGATTTAACAATTAGCCAGAAATAAAATGGAAGATAATACATAATATACTTTCATTCTAAACTGCACACATTATCACCGGTTAAACACGCAAAATGTAGCAAGTGAATGTTGCCCAAGTTAAAAATTAGTTGCCTTTTAAATCTTAGTTACAATTTGTAAAAATTTAAACTAAGATTTAAAAAGCAACTAATAATACTAAACACAGTCTGCGGTGTAAGATTCAGTGTAATAAACTAGGGCCTTAGAAATATCAATTGTAACATAGTGTAACAATTTCAAGGACACACTAGTAGAGAGATTATACTACTGATTTATAGAAGAGAAGATTACTCTGTATAGTCCCAGCAGTCCTTCTCGTAGCCTTCGTGAACATGCTCTAGAAGAACTTTTCGTCGGCTGTCGCAATATCTGCAAGAGAATTAGGTAATTTATTAGTATCGCAGACATTGATCACTTTTTTTAATAAATTTAATGGCTTTTATGGTAGGCAGAGACCTTTTTTAAGAGAGTTTTAGGACATTGCCCCAATCCGTTCTATCTCCAAAATGATTTTCTGACATTGTTGAAACAGAAACTTTATTATTCAATATAGATTATAAATAATACTTATTGAAAGTTACTCTTTTGTTTAATTACCAATGGTTCGGAAAAAAAAGCTCTGTATGAGAAGAACCAGCAAGAAACCCAGCGGGACTTTTTTTTAAATAACAGCTTACAATCATGTATGTTACACAAATTAACAACACAACAAATTAGAAATAGCTTGGTAGCGTTCACCTCATCTCCATGGGTTATTATGATCCATAAATTCTTTAATATTATAATAACCCTTTTTATACATACTTAGTTTAATAAAGTTTTTGAACTTTGAGCAGGTCAAATTTTGCATATTTTCTGGAATTTTGTTGTAAAAGCGTATACATCGCCCCAAGAATGAATTACTAACTCGATGGAGTCGAGTAACTGGTAACTTGTAAATCATCATAATCATTACAGCTCTTCACAGGTCCACTGCTGAACATAGGCTTGTACTGGCCTCATTTTTACCTAGGAGTACGTCTGGGCTACCCTCTTATCTATATCTGCCGTGTACTGCTGTGTTCCGGTTTGTAGGGTAAAGAGAGCAAGATAAGTACGAGCTGTGAGGTATTCCGTCCGAGTCCTCAGTGGTGACAACGCAACACTGTTCTTTGTTTGAAGTTGGCTGCAGATGTCCACGGACAGCCGTAGCCGCTTACCATCACAAGACAAGACAAGACTGTAAATTAGTTTGTCACTACCGATTACAAAACAAAATGTCCTCCCCCAAAGAACGCCACAAAAGCACGGTCTTAAGTCATGTACATCCATCGACTTCCTGCATATCTTAGCAGGTTGTCACTCCATCAAGTGATATATAAATAACAATTTGAAGGGTACAAGTCGCGGCACATGAATCTAGCGGTGACCGTCATTGCGCATAAGTCGAAATAAGGTAATAAGGTAATAAGCGGGTCGCGGGGCAGACGTGCGTATCGTTCGCACGCGCTGATTGGCTCTCCAGTCGCATTCCGTCCCCCGTACTGATACGACGCCCCGCGCACTTCCAGTGTACAATCACGTTCTGAATTGTATTGCTATTGCTGTTAATTTTTGTTGTCGTTTTTTGTTAAGTTTGAGTTTGTTAAATTGTTTTTTATTAAGTTTGTTTGTGACTTTAAACAGTAAATATTCCTAGGAGAAATACTATTTTGAGAGGACAGGCACGGAAAATGGTGTATGACGGGCATTGTTTTTTGAAAAGTGAATCTAATGAATTAATTGATTCTTTAAAACAAATCAAAAGGGAAATTGGCGAAGCTACGAGTATTTTACTCAGTCATTTTGACAGCAGCACTGTATATTTAAGCCAGATAAATAAAACTGCAGAAGTTATTAATGCAGTGAATATGAAATAAAATGCCGTAAACAGTGACTTAGGGAAAATCAAAAAAGGGCAGTAGAGTCTACAAATACGTCAATTGCAACTGTAAGGAACATCACTCAAGCCAATAGTTCCGATTTAATCACAGTGTGAATTTTAAACACACCATTGAAGGCGTGATACCATTTTCTTATTCAGACTAGGAAAAGGGTAGCATAGGTTGTGTAAATGTGTATGATTGTCATTTTGCCCATCGCTAATTCAGAAACTAGTTTTTTATATCTAAAATAAAAATTGAAAATTTGTGAATGTTTTTATTTTTCTACTCCCCATAAATTTGTTAAAAATTATATCCTAGGTAACATGAAATCTTTGGAATTTTGAACTATAATAATTACGAACACATGCACTCACACTCATACACGCACACGTACACACACGCGCGCACGCACACGCACAAGCGAACGCACACGCACATACATACATATTAACAATCATTACTTTACTTAATTAGTAGCTAAATACTATTAATTAATTAAATTAATGATTGTCTTGCGTGTGCGACATACGCAGCTATCCCCTCCACGTTTCGTTCAGCGCTAGACTTACGTGCCGCTACTCATACCGACGGGAATTGAACTCAGTTTGTTTATGTAGTTACAAATTTTAAAGTGAGCGCTTATCCCCTGACCTACCAAGACTCACATGGCCGAACTAAAAACCGAGACTTTTGGAGTAGTGTGCAAGGAAGTGATGAAAGAATTCAGATGGCAGAAAGGATAGTTAATGTTACTTTTAAAAAAATCCGCTAGCTTTATTGCTTGTTCTTCCCAAGGCATTTTTTTCCAAAAGTAAAAAAATAACTAAATAAGAAACTATGTAAGGTTTTCTTTTTACTTTAATAATGATGTCCAAAATGGATCAATAAGCCAAATCACATACCTGTATTTATCCTGGACCTTCTGTTTGATGTAAGCCAAGTTTTCACTAGTGATATCCCGTTCCAGATATTCCGAGAGGGTCTCGGTGGCTGATTCCAGATCGCGCTGGTTGTCTTCAAATATCACCGACTGATTGTTCTTGCGCAGGTAATACGCGAATACGTAGGTGTACATGAGGGTTTGTCGGCACTGACATAGGATGTCGACTGCTTTTTTCAGAAATTGAACCTGTTAAAACATAATAAATAATTTAGGTAAGTATTGAAAAAGATAATTATAAAGTAAATAAGTAAATTAACAGCTTTAACAGGCTAACCTATATACAGGCTTTCTCTTATTTTTGAGTCTAAGCAGGTAAGAATCCACCATGCTGTCTTAATCAGGGTTAGCATCTGACTGGATAAATCCAGTCTTGACCGGATTTTATAAGCTAATACTCGACCCGGATTTCAATACAGACAAGATTTTTTGCACCTGTCTATTCTTGTAGGTGTAGGCCACGCGGGTCGGGCCAGATTACAATATGTGGAGCAATAAGCAACCAACTTGTTGAAAGCAAAAAAAGTTGCTAGTAGCTAAAACTAAAGTGAAACAAATTTATATTTAGAAAATAAACAAAAACCTGATTTTATCGGGATTTGGAGTGGGATTTGAATGTTGGAGTGATTTTTTTTTAATTTCTAAAACGGAAGGTCAATATTTCTAACGTTGTTTTCCTTCGCTAACACTTATTTTGGACCAGCATTGATCGAATTCAAACTCAGTTCAATTTCCTTACATACTTTGAAATTTTAAAGTGAACAACCCAAATTTCAGAGCATCAGCGCAGTGGCCGAAAGATAAATCACATCTAAAGATGACGGTTCCATCTGGGTGAGCAGGCGTAAGCGGTACAGTAACACGGCTACCCGCAAATTTTTGAGATGGCAGTTTATAATGGTTTGGATAATAGACATAGAGAGAGTGTACTGTATGTTCTATTCCATTGTGCAGTGAATACAGACCGAAAAGTGCGAGAGAGACAAAGCGACCAGTAGTAGAATCTTTCTAGAATTCTGATTGGTCCACGTCAATGGCTTTCAGGATGTGGACCAATCAGGCTAGCAGGAAAGAGGCAGGCATCGGCCGCACAATCGCTCTGTCTTTTTCTAGAGAATAGTCACTTTTGTAAGGCTAACGCTCATTCCATTGTCTATGTCTTTGGTTTGGACTTGTAAAATCAATGTTAACAAACCAAGTGAGGGAATACAATTTAAGTTTAGTTCTATCTGTCAACCGTGGTAGAGCCACGCGTTTATAACAGTGGTAGAGCCACGCGGCAGCTTTGCTGTCGCACGGATGGGCCGGCTCGAACCGGGGTAGTACCACGACCTCACAGAAAACCGGCGTGAAGTAGAGGTTTACCTCTGCGTTTCGCTTGGTGAGTGCAGGTGGCCGGAGGCCCTTTTTACTGGAAATGAGGCATTCCATCTTAGTCCTCACGGGTGACAACGCATCTACATTTTGATTTGTAACAGAGAATAGATGTAGATGTCTATGGGTCGCAGAAACCACTAAACATCAGGTGGACTGTGTTCTCGTTTGTCACCCTTATCCTATGAAAAAAAAAACCGGTTACAACACTCGAAGTTGCTCTGTGAGCCCACTTCACATCGCTATGATGCGGGTTCCATTAAGCGTTGGAAGTGAAAAGACGAAATTTTAAATATAAACAAATAAGGATGGTCAAAGACATCACATTAGCCATAAACTTTTTGGCAAATTTAATGCTACCAATGTCACCCATGGCAAATATGAAATAATTATTTCATCTGTTGTTACATGATCCTTTTGACATTTCTCTAAATCAATATATCCTAGTGGTATCATAAGGATAAAGAACTTTTTCATAACATTAGAATCACTATATGTGAGACTATAACGCAATTGTAATCCATGAACACATGTAAGGCACTTCAAACAAAAAACCTACAGTGCCCGACATAGTGTGTATTATTACGCCGTCTGAATTTACTATACCTACATAATTTAAGAGATTATACATTGTGATTGTGTATACATTAACAACTTCCCTGTCCACGAAAAAGACACAATAATTAAACAATCGAAATGGTCATATATGACTCACGGGACAATGAAATGGTAAAAGTGGTCTTTGTAGTTCCTTTTCGATTCTTACGACACCCATTTCAAAGAACTAGATGGGGTTCATGGATTCTCTTACTTAATAAAGTACTAACTTCAATCCAACTCATGTTGTGCTGCTGCATCTCCTCCATCTTCTCCTTGACGGAGGCGTAAAGTTTGGACTCGAAGCGCAAAGACTGCATGTGGTTCATATAGCGGTTGCAGTAGAACAGGTACCGTTGGAGTGCAGATCGGGAACGTTCTTGCGCATCGCGCGCTGCTTTTGCTTCATCTTCATCGTATCTAGATTACAAAAATAAAAAGTTGTGATGAAGAAAAAGAAAAGTCAGTAAGATCTCATCGCCTCCAATAGATGGCGGTATAAGTGAACCGGTGGTGAAAGCAGCCAGTGTGACGCGGTCATGAATAATTGGATTAGAAATGTGATGATGCATTACACTGTATTCACAAGTTTCTCAGTGATTTCAACGGCATTTAAACACATCTTGACTACCCAGAAAGTGCAGGCTCTAGAGTCTAGACTGTGGGTCAAGTGTAAATGACTAATGGCGAGTATGGTGGCGGCTGACCAGTAACCACTGGTGCTATGCTTAAAGTCTCTGCATATGGGCACAGCAAAAGACACTTGCACGGAAGCAGCGGTCCACTGTTTCCACTGTTGAGCACATAAAGGCAGTAATGTACAGCATTTATCGCCGAGAAAATACTTTTCTGTAGTAACTGTCTAAGGTCAAATTTATTGTGTAACATTTATTATTGCAAAAAATATCACTAAACACACCTGTTACAATTATACCAGCTGCTTCCGTGTGGCTCCCAGGGGCCAAGGCATACCCAGCAGAAGTCGGCTTTGCAATTCTGGTTCTTGCACACCATGTGATTGCACCCGCCGTCTTTCTCTATCGTCACATTACACTTCGGACACTCTTTGGTGTTTGCGGCTATCCAGTTTGAAGTTTCTGAGTCATCATCGCATTTCTGTAAAGATGTTAAGCATTTAAACAACCTACTATAGAATATTGCCTCCTATTTCTGCCATAGTTTAAGGAACTGTGAACAGAGAGAAAGCATGCTATCTGACTTCACATGTCATCGAAATATTTTTATTTTCTCAAGTAGAATTTCTTATGATGATATTCTTTATCGTCGAGTATCTGTACCGTTACTGTTATCGTCGTTACAGCCTATTAAAGTCCACTGCTGAACATAGACCTCCCCCATAGATTGCGTCATAGGGGGGTTATTTGACATAGCTGCCACGCTTGGCAAGCGGTTTGACAAACCTGACTTTAATTATACTCCTTTTATTCTACCTTTACACTAATATATATATTTTCGTGGGGGCTACACTTAACAACACTCTGGTTGCTCGCGTACTATTAAATTTAAGACAAGCGCCCACCCCTTTTACTACGGCTTTTTTACTACCCTTTTCACTATGTCAATTATAATAAGCTTTAATGTTCTATTATCCATTATTGCAACAGTATATGTATAGCTGCGGGACTAGTGACAGATGACGTGACAGCAGAGCACAGATGCGTCATGCATGTTGTCAGTGGATGCTGTAGTGGTAGTGCAGCACTTACAGTTCTGTTACGTAAGTATGTGTTAAATTGTTTAGACAAATGCATTCACAGTCCACCTGACGGTGGATGGTCCATGGACACATACATCTATCCTCGATCAACAAACAAACTGCAGATGCGTTTCGCTGGCAGTAAAACTTCGAACCATAATAATGTCCTGCAGACCAAATTTCGGCCACGGCGGCCAGTCATCTCATCTGCGCAGAACAGGGTGTCACACAGAAAACAACAGTAACCGTTTTTTTCCCAACCCGGGATTCAAACACACCCCATTCAACAGATCAGGTCAACGACATATAATACAGCCATAATACAGCTGCACACTTAAGCCAGTGTTACACACAGCGACTTACTTTAATCCACTTTTTGAGCAAGCAGCAGCGGACGGGATCGTGCCAGTTCTCCCCGCAGGCGAAGCAGAAGGTGTGTCCGCAGCGGCACGTCACGGGCGCCGCCTCCACGTACGCCACCTTGATCGCGTTGCTGCAGTCCGGCGACGGACACCAGCGCAGCAGTCGATTGCACTGCAATTGTCATTGGTCCTTGACCGCTGGACATTTAGAATGCTTAAGTCGCTCAGTAAGCTCTGCAAGCCTCATTTTACTCAGATTTTCTCTACATTTTATAAATAAATAACGAAGATTTCTGCAGTAGAACTGAATTAACAGACACAGCCCAACGAATCAATAAGCTGAAGTGGCAATGAGTTGCCCATAAACGACAATTACTGATGAGGTTGAAAAGCTCTCCAGCGACAGCCTTGTACCGGTTAACGGAATGGTGGCCTGCCCAATGGTAATGACGACCTGATAAGACAAAGTTTAACAGGGAACTTGTAAAAGGCTGAAATGTTCTATATCCAGGCTCCACCATCTAATTTTCGGCACTTAAGGCATGGATTATCTATTTATCCTAAAGTCTGAGCATAAAATATATTGACATGTAGATAAGTGAAACTGGGAGAAAAGGTAATAAAAATATATTATACAATGTCTTATGCAAAAAAGAAATGTTTACCCATGCTATTGATAAAATATGCTCAAAATACTGTTAACTTTGTTTTTTTTTTTTATTGAAAAATCTATATAAAATATCTATGAAATCTATTAAGTATTACAATGGATACAAATGTGTGAAAGTATAAATACAAAATTTTAAAACTTCATGTTGAAGAATTAATAAAAATAAGCACAAGTGTACATTTCATTATAATAACTGCAACATTTTATGTAACAATAATGAAATCAATTTAACATTACCTCTACAAAGCTGTTTGTGATGATGTGTTGGTACTTGAGCTTGACGCGCGGGTCTCGGACCAGCCGCATAACCGTCGCGTCGTCGACCAAAATGTCGCAAGCGTGCGCTGCGCACGCTATTGTTTGACCCTATAAATAAAAAACAAATAATACCATAATATGTGCAACTTTTTTAAGTGATAGAGCCATGCTGCAGTTATATTACAGATATAATTGTAGCACGAATGGGTCGGCTCCGCCGGGGAAAGACCACGCTCTCACAGAATACCAGTGCAATATGCAATAATAAAAAAATATTTCGAAGACAAAAGTTTGGAGTTCGCCAACACGCATTGGGGCAGCGCGGCGGACATTTGCTTGCCCTAAAACCCTCTCGGAAGTGAGAGGAGGCCTGTGCCCAGCTGTGGGACGTATATAGGCTATAACTTTAACTTTAAGATGTTCTCCTTCTCCTGTATTTTCGGGGCAGTTTACATACATACATTTTACAAGAACAAACATCCAGACCCGGTACAATTATTTGTAGTCCATACAAATACTTGTTCCGGGGGGGATTCTAACCCGCGGCCCTTAGCACTGCAACTCATTGCTAAGCCACTGCGCCACGGAGCCATCAACTATGAGCGCAGCATTATGCTTTTAACGTGCTAGAGCCACGCTGCAGCTATATTATAATTGCAGCACGAATGGGTCGGCTCGACCGGGATAGGACCATGCTCTCACAGAATATCAGCGTAAAATAGCAGCTTAATGCTGCTGTGTTTCGTATGATGAGTGTAGAGAACCAGACCCTTTTTACTGGAAACGAGGCATTCCATCTTAGTTCTCACGGGTGACAACGCATCTGCATTTTGATTCTTAATCGGGGATAAATGTAGATTTCTATGGGCCACAGCAACCACTTACCATCAGGTGGACTGTGTGCCTGTTTGTCACCCTTATCCTATAAAAAAAAACTTATTCATTACTTACATTCATCTACACTACACTTAAATGTATGAAAATCTAGCATTTTATTGTATCACATAAATATAAGAACTAGCTGAACCCGCAGACGTACTGTCCAGTTAAAGTAGTTGAAGCAATGCGTTCACTAAGAATTCACTTCAGACTTTTTATAGTTAATATAAAATTAAATAAAAAAAAGTAAATTCTATCTTTTCTTAGGCACTAAACGAACATGTTTTGGAATATAAGTTATTTTGGTCCATAAATATAAAATTTGTCAATAACTTGTTTACAGCATCACCCATCAGATCCTAACACAGCTATGAACCATTGATTCGACAGAACAAATATATTTTGTGAATATGACATCAACCGGTCAAGTAGTTCCAAAGTTACATGATCATTTACAGACATCAACAATTATACAGAAATATAAGGGAGAATATTCCATTTTTCCCTTCAAATGCCAACCTCGCTTGGTCGAGACGCAACCAGCTGATTGATAAACAAGGTTCTTGCATCTAATAATGGAAAATATTTTAGAAAAGTCTGAACACAAACTGATGATTGGGAGCAGCATTATTAGTTTGAGCAAAATTCGTTGGCAGAACAAACGGCTACTTAGCATCATAAGCAAATTTTCCAAATAATACACAGCTGGCTCAGTAGTGAAATTAAATTCTGGTTAAACCAATCTTACCAGTATCAAGCACAGAGGCAAATAACCATCTTTTTGGTGGTCTACGGAATACATTTAGGATGTTTTTTTATAGGATAAGGGTGACATGACAAGCGAGCACACCGTCCGTCTGATGGTAAGTGGTTGCTGTGGCCCATAGACATCTATATCTAGCGTTGTCAGACGTAAGGACTAAGATGGAATACCTCTTTTCCAGTAACAAGGGTCTCCGGTTCTCTACTCACCATACGAAACACAGCATCATTAAGCTGCTATTTTATACTGGTATTCTGTGAGAGCGTGGTGCTTCCCTGGTCGAGCCAACCCATTCGTGCTATAACTATACAATTAATATAGCTGTAGCATGGTTCTACCATATTTTATATAGTTGCAGCATGGCTCTACCACGTTTTATCACATTTATGTGAGTTCTACAAGGCAAAAGTAAATAGGCTTTTGTTATACTAAGTCAGTGTGCTTTACAATATTCGTCTGCACCATCACCTACGTTCAGGTGAGATAGTAGTAAAGCACTGTCTTATAATGGATAAATAATTAAAAAGTTATTAATATGGTATGTGATTTTATAACAGTAGGAATTATTACCAATAAAAAGGAATAAATGTTAAATTTTATATATATATATATATATCTATATAATCAGTCAGTCAGTGGTATATATATATATATATATATATATATATATACATATATATATATACATATATATATATATATACCACTGACTGACTGACTGACTGACTCATCACGAGATCTCTAAAACTGTACACCCAATTTTTTATAAAACGTTACCCCCACACTAGGATTTTCTCCTGTGTTGTGGAGGCAGTTTACAAACATAAATTGCACAAGGACAAACATCCAGACCCATCACAATTATTTGTAGGCCATACAAATACTTCTTCCGTGCGGGATTCGAACCCGCGGTCCCCAGTGCTGCAACTCATTGCTAAGCCACCTCGCCACGGAGCCGTTGACTTGAAATTTAGTATAGTTACTCATTTTGCAGTATATATTTTTATACTCACTAATCCTTCTTCCATTATTTTAGTGGTCAAATATTCACACCAGCACTGTGTGCAGAACCTGTGTCCACACTCCAAGCCTGTCATCATCTAAAAACAATGAAAGATGTCAATGACACTTCCTTAAAAAAAATATATATATATATTAAGAACACACTTCATTAGTCTAATTTTATATAGGCCCGCTAGACTCACGCCGAGAAACTTCGCCAAGTAGGCACAATGATAAATCTCGCGAACGACAAAAGAAATCTACACTCACACTATGTTCTCATTTTCGTTCTCGTTCGTAACGAGTGTGGGCGATATTTTCGGGGCAGCGGCTTTAACAAAGCTTGAATGAGTAAACTATAAAGTTGTAAATGTTAAAAATCAAAAATGAAGTTAAGAAAAAAAATTATGGTAGTTAACGCAAATTTATCAAAACAGAACTAGGTTTATAATTTTATTATTTTTTTAATACACACCACTGCTTTTATTGCAATTAGTACCGAACAAAATTGGAATAGGACTGTCTTTTCTCGTCCTAGACCCCCTTAGAAGCGGGCTGAGAACCGATGTTACTCAGAGAATAAGACAGTGCGAGAACGGGACTTCAAAAACTAACTCATATTCACGTGTCTCGGGTGTTCTCAGGGATTCTTGGCGAGAGTCTGGAAGGGCCCAAAGAAGATACTCGTTTCTGTCCGCGTTATAACTACACCCATAAGAAAACCATGGAACACCTCCAAGTTTCGTTTTTTTTAGTAAAGAATATCCTATATGATAGTGAAAATATAAACTATAAAACTAAGTTAAATTATTTATTTATTTATTTACATGGCAGATGTGCTGACGTTCTCGGTACTAATCTCGATGAACCCAAGATACAGCTTTATATATTACTGGAATAGGTATTTTGAGGCAATTTGAAAATTATCACGCTATCTAACAGAAGCCATAAGTTTTTACGAGCGTTTCACTTCATCTAGTTTATCAAGGCTATGGAAAATTGATAATATGTTCTTATGTGCAACATGTATGATACAATACCTAACATTATTTCATAATGGCAAAAATAAAAAACGACGTTATTAATCAATAAAAGTTATTGTCATTACATTAAATTACTAATTAAATGATTAATACTTACAGAAGTTGGTAGTATGGAAAAACATATTTCGCATTCCTCTGTGCCAGATGTTGATATCCGTCTGGGTATCTACAAAATATATATCTTAAACTAGCATACTAGAGACATGGTAGAGCGATGCTGCAGCTATATTATGGTTGTAGCACGAATGGGTCGGCTCGACCGGGGAAGGACCACGCTCTCACAGAATACCAGCGTAAAATAGCAGCTTAACGCTGCTGTGTTTCGTATGGTGAGTGTAGAGAACCGGAGACCCTTTTTACTGGAAACGAGGCATTCCATCTTAGTCCTCACGGGTGACAACGCATCTGCATTTTGATTCGTAATCGAAGATAGATGTAGATTTCTATGGGCCGCAGCAACCACTTACCATCAGGTGGACTGTGTGCTCGTTTTTCATCCTTATCCTATAAAAAAAAATTTACACACTTACATCTATATTTATGATACATTATAAAGAAATTACTTAAAGGTATATATTTATTCTAAGAAAAAAACGGTGTTATTACTGACGGCGAGAGGAGCCGTCGCCCCGTCACCTCCGCATGCCCCACACCACCGCGACATAATCATACGCGCAACCAATCTGCACGCTTCAAGCCCGCGTGGGAGACCGTCAACTGTGCGACCCACGCCACGAGAATATACTCGTATGACGGGCACCGGCGCAAAGCATTCACATTCGCGGCAAACAAGAATTCTCAGAAGAATAATTTAAAATTAAAAATGTCGTACAATCGACTTCAATATAAATTATTAAGAATAACTCAAAAACTATAAGTCAGACCTTGATCAAATTTATATGGGACCACATGTGAAGCCAGCCAGCAGCTTTCAAATAAAAAAAAATCATCGAAATCGGTCCACCCAGTAAAAAGTTATGAGATAACACACATAAAAAAACATACAGTCGAATTGAGTACCGTCTCCTTTTTGAAGTCGGTAGAAAAGAAGAAATAATCAAGAAAGCGAGACTAGAATTAAAACCATTAGGAGCACTAGAAGAAGCTCTAGTGCTGGGGGCACTAGAGCTTTTTTAATTGGCATAATAGTAATCCATCCATTATAAATTGCCTGCTCATGAGGTATCTTGAGGATCACCAGCTGATAAGTGTGATCGCCAGTACGGTTTTCGTTGGGGTCGATCAGCTGGTGATCTTCTGGTCTACCTGACTCATAGATGGGCGGAGGCAGTAGAGTCCAAGGGGGAGGCATTGGCCGTTAGTTTGGACATAGCAAAGGCCTTCGATCGGGTCTGGCATAAAGTGCTTCTTTCGAAGCTCCCTTCCTATGGGCTTCCCGAGAAATTGTGCAATTGGATCACCAGCTTCCTTGCTGGATCGGAGCTTCAAGGTCGTTGTAGACGGTGCATGCTCCGACTACAAGCCTATTAACGCTGGTGTTCCACAAGGCTGTGTGCTATCACCAACGCTGTTTCTTCTGCATATCAATTATATGTTGCTAACTGGTAACATTCATTGCTATGCGGATGACAGCACTGGTGATGCTCTATACACCGGCCGTGCCAATATTTCTCGGGAAAACGTCGCCGAGTACCGGAACAAACTTGTATCTGAAGTCGAGTCTTTGCTGAACAAAGTCTCGGATTGGGGGCGACTAAATATAGTCCAGTACAATCTCCAGAAGACACAAGTTTGCGCGTTTACCGCAGTTACTTACCAGCAGGTGAGCCACATGTTCGTTTGCCCCCTCTCCTATAAAAAGAAATTGCCACAAGTCATCTTTGTAAATAGTTCAATAAGTTTCTTTAGTGTGTTATCATTCTTTCAATAGAACAATCCCCTAGTAATGAGTTCTTCAACTAGCTAGGCAGTGAAATAGTCAACTCATTTCTCAGACTGTGTCAGTTTTTTAGTAAATACAACAACAACACAAGTTTTTTAGTAAATACGTAGTCCACTTACTCTCCCCTTCCTTTTCAAACGGAAAGAAAACATATTATTGTGTAAAAAACTGACTTAAAAAGCCCAGCACGCCCTATTAACCAAACACAAATTGATTCTATTCCATTACATTCTGCTAAAGTCCACTGCTGAACGTAAACTGACCACATAGTAGCCCAATAGAGGAGATATTGCCCTAGTGGCCACATTTGGCAAATTGACAACTGCAGTTTTTTTTTAATTTTCAGTCTTTATTTGGAAGACACTGCTGTCCATCTCCTGATTTGTTTCCCTCTGTCGCCTCTTACGACACCCATGGGATGATAAGGGGTAGTGGATACTGTTACACCACCACTACACGGAAATAAATCTATACATTATATATAAAAATTACATGTCAAATTGTTTGTCCGCGATAAACTTCTAAACTACAGAACTGATTTTAATGAAATTTCACACACTGTGTGCAGTTTGGTTCAACTTGAGAGATAGGATACTTTTTATCCCGATAAGTGACCTTCGATATTTTTTATTGCGAATTTAAGGATTTTTTATAGGAAGGGTCGTCGGAAAGGGTAGTCTGCCTGGCCAGCTAGTATTATAATAAATCTGTAGAAAATTAGTGTTTTTAATTCTAATATATTCTTCAAAAAAAGTCCAGGGGACAAATTAAAGGGTACTGAAACCTAATAAGTTGGTTTTTAGAATTTTTATATGTCTCTCTATCTGTCTGCCTGTGATTCACAATTCACACTAAAACCACTGGACCGATTTCCATAAATTGTGTAAGTAGATAGTTAGTAATCCGGGACAACTTATAGGCTACTTTTTATACAATTACAGAACTTCAAAAAAGAATGTTAAGTATTTTCGTTCCTTTATATTTTAATTTTCTATTATATGTTAGAGAATAGGCGAGATGACGGATGTCTTTTCAAATAAATACCATATTTATAAATAAAGTTTAAAATTAGTTTTAACTTTTCCATAATAATATGAAACTCAGCCGAGGATCTGTCTGTCTGTACTTATCAAAACAGTTTTATATTTCTATCATCAAGTTTAAAAATACTAACATTTGTTTTTAACTTTTTTGTTGTTTCATTTTAAAAGTGTACTAATTTAAATAGATAATAGTGACGTTTATCAAACGTATGAAAATAGATATGGTTTTTTGTTCAATTATTAATTTGTATGTAAACAGATTAAAACTGGTCTGCCTGCAATTATTGCAAAATTCTCATTATAACATTATTTTGTGAAATCGTGTCATTTCATGATATTTATTACTGTGTGTTGACCAATTCCTGATATAGCTTAACCAAATCAGTGAACAGAGATCATTTGACGATATTAATAACTAAACAAAACATTGCTATTTCATGATATGGTCATATCGTCAAATAGTTTTTCACCAATAAGTAAATGTCCACGGCTTTGGGGTGGTCTCTAAAAAGCTTGGCGTGCTCAGCAGAGCGAGACAGTATTTCATGCCGGCACATTGCTTGCAACTTTACAAAGCGCAAGTTCGGTCTCACATGGAATACTGTTTTCATCTATGGGCCAGGACACCCCAGTGCCAGCTCCTTCCACTTGACCGCATCCAGTACAGAGCCGATCAAAAAGAATCGTCAACGACCGAGTTCTTTCTGATCGGCTTGATACACTGGCACTGCGTAGGGATGTTGCATCCCTTTGTATTTTCTATCGAATTCACCATGGGAATTGCTCTGAGGAATTGTTCCGTTTAATTCCAGACGCCAAATTTCACGAACGCACATCGCGTCAAAATTCACGATTCTATCCTCACCATCTGGATGCTTGGTGGTCCACGACTGTGCGTTTTACTAGGAGTTTTCTTCCTCGTACAACTTCTCTGTGGAATTGTTTACCACCGGCGATTTTTCCGGACTGATACGACTTAGGGACCTTCAGAAAAGAGCTTACACTTTTCTAAAAGGACGGCAACGCATCTGCAATTCCCCTGGTGTTGCGGTTATTCATGGGCGGTAGTCACTTACCATCAGGTTAGCCGCATGCTTGATTGTCCCCTCTTCTAAAAAAAAATTCTTGAGCCAGTCGCACCCTAACCTTCTATCACTGATATTACTGGATAGTATAGTTTTGACTTTCATAGTTTCAATTTTTAATGTAATAATGGCACCATCTATAATATAATAATATAGCTTTTATATCCCAAAACAAATAATCCTATCTTTTTCAGTTTTATTATAATGTCTCTGAGTTTGGTGTGCCTCTTGGCAAAGGCTTCCCTCAAACGATTTCCATTGTTCACGATCTTTTGTGACTCTTCTCCAGTTATAACCCACTGATAATTTTAATTTGTTCTCCCATCTATTGCGTTGTCGACCTCTATTTCGTTTTACGTTTCTGGGGTACCATCCTGTCACTGTTTTGCTCCATTTATCCTGGGGGCTCCGTAGCATATAACCCGTCTATCTCCACTTCATTTGGTCTATCTCTTAGTTAGAATATCTATCACGCCTGTTCTTGCTCTTAATGTATTTCTTTGCTTATCTATTTATCTGATTCTCAGCATACTCCTTCCCATGGATCTTTGACAGTGTTCGAGCATATCTCTGTGCTGCTTAGAAAGTGCCCAAGTTTCGCAGCCGGTAAGGCATGGGAGGATACAGGTGTTAAAGACCTTGCTCTGAATTGCTTTACTAAAATCTGTAGATTTCATAATCTCCTTCAGTGATTCCTTTTGATTTCTTAGGTAGTTAGATCCATTAGTGAGTAAATAATTGAAAATTAAATGCACTATGAGATTTTCAACTCTTTATGAAATAGTTTGTGACATTGTTCAATGTCTAATTACTATGTAGATATGGTCAACAATCATGCAAAAGCTTTGTTTCAGGTTTTATGAATTTTATTTAAACAAATACAAGAGCCGTGTAGCACACCGTTAGATTTCATTATTGCACAGGTGCAAAACAGTGAAAAATGAATCTGTTATGAGAAATTTTATGAGCTGAGTTACCACGTATCCATTCCAAGATAATTTACTTTTCTTATGGATACATCAGTAGACACGCCCGATATAAAAAATAGTGGATGTTTCAAGACATATGATATTAATGTAATTTTGAAAAACTTATTTATTCATGTGTTTCTGTAACATTATATATATGCCAAAATCAATCACCTACGTCCAATAGACTTTAAAAATTCATAAAAAATTATTTGACATAGTGACAGACACCGAGGTGACTCTAAAAGTGATTGAATTTTGCTAAATTGAGCACAGAACAGTAATTAATGATATTCCTACTTTGAGCGAAGCCGTGGGTAAAAAGCTAGTGAATAAATAAAATGATTACAAGATATTAACATTTTTGAGTCAGTTGTTTGGTTTATGAATAAAGATAGAGTTGAATGACGAAAATTAAACTGCGTTTAATTTATATGGCATGTAAGTAATACAAGGAGTTTTAATGATAAGAAATGAATGTTATGAGATTTGAAATGTACACAAATTATAATAGACAGGACAAAGGTAATTTTTAAAATTTTATGTAGAAATCTCAACCATGACTGCCATATTTTTATGTATATATATTTTTTTATATTTCAAAATGTTTACAGCTCATGAAAAACAATTTAAAGATTCATGTTAAATCATTAGATTGTTGATTGGTCCCAATCTGTTTTATTGTCTATTTTTTTTTCGAAAGATGTGAATGTAGTTTGACAATACTTCGGACTATAGCAAAAAAAATTTGTAAATGCAAAATACCTTAATTACTTAACTTTAATTCTTAACAACTTAAAGAAAAATATTTATTACAATTGTTATTTTGTATGGTAGCAAATTGTTACTATTTTTTTTTATAGGATAGTGTGACAAACGAGCACACAGTTCAACTGATGGTAAGTGGTTGCTGTGGCCCATAGACATCTACATTTATCCTCGATTATGAATCAAAATGCACATGTGTTGTCACCCGTGAGGACTAAGATTGAATGCCTCGTTACCAGTAAAAAGGGTCTCCAGTTCTCTACACTCACTATACGAAACACAGCAGCATTAAGCTGCTATTTTACGCTGGTATTCTGTGAGAGTGTGGTCCTTCTCCAGTCGAGCCGACCCATTCGTGCTACAACTATATCACTAATATAGCTGCAGCATGGCTCTACCACATATAAAACTACTAAAACTACTAACTAAAGATACTTTAAAACGTCAAAATTTGTTGACAACAATTTTTCAAAAATTTGTTGATATTAAATGTGTATGATTTAGGATCTACAAAAACTTTATTTGAGAGGTCATGATACAACTAAATATTCTTTGAATAAAAAAATAATCAAGTAGTAGAATGTAATAAAATTCAACAACATGAATGTTTCAATCTATTATCAAATAGCTGATACCCGTGACTTTATCTATGTTGCTTGATATATTAATTTGTGTATTTTGTACTTTCTTAGTCTATCAAAAGTTCACCGTTGAACATAGCCCTCTCCAATAGATTGTATCATATGGGGGATATTTCCCGTAATTGCAGGCAGATTGACAACGGCAGTTCTTTATTATATTGAGTTCTTATCAGAAAATACATAAAATACATTACAGTATAAAATACATTATGTAGATTAAACATGTTGGTATATATAATTCAAGTTTGTGGCGTAAGACTGAATAAGTAATAGAAAACAACCATAGGAAATTCTGGAATCTTTTGGCTTCTAGTAGATGTCGGTATCATCTTATATTTATGCTAGATATAATCTTGGACACTCTATGGGTATAAATACTATTTTAAACAATTTAATAATTTTTAGTAGATGGTCAAATTTATTAAAATCTTATTAATAATAAAATGTAATAATATTATTGATTAACCAATAATTAGAATTAAAATTTAAAGTATAGTTTAAAAAATTGTAATTTTAATTTTGTAATGGATCTGTGTTGTCTGTTAGCGATGTGTCGTTATGTCTTTTCTAAATAACATAACGTTATCGTTATGGCACAATGGATAACGTTATCATAACTATCTATATTCATAACTGTCTATTTTCCATGTAACCGCAACTTAACAATATACCTTCATAGAGCAGTTATCATCAAAATTATTTTCGTTTCACTAAGTAAATACTAATTTAGTTGCTGAAATGAATTTTCCTTCGTACTTTTGATCTTTTGACATCTTTCATCATCTAGGAATTAAGGCATCCATTTTTCCTTATTTGTGTTGAGACTGCGGTACAGTACAACTGATCGCATCACGGAAGTTGGGTTTGACATCGAAGGCTGGCTCAAAAAGTTGTCTTTTAAGTTAGTGCTTGACACAAGGACACCCAAAGTGTTCGACAGGTCTCGAAGATCTAGCAATCGTTTGCTGTTCTAACGAAACTTGTGTGTACGCTTCTATATATCGCTGCCGTAAATGTAACTTCAGATAACCTGAAGTCGTCTGAAAACTAAATCCGTTTTTACAAATATTACAACGCGCTTTTTTATTTAACAAAAGCTTTTTGTTTGTTTTTAGAATTCTTTTATGGACACTAATATCACTATGCATGCTTTATGCTTCGAAATAAACTTGGAATTAGCAAATGAAGCAAAGTTTTTAAATAATAATATTACACCCAAAATTTAGACTTAAAACTCAAGTTCAAAAGTTGAATAACAGAAGGTTAATAATTATATTTCGTCTTAACAAGGTCAAGGCTATTAATGCAGTTTAACCTTACATTTTGGGGAACAAGTGTTATTTTTCAATATATGGCAAAAACCCGTATTTACTATGTAGAATTTTATAATAAACAGCACGAGGTTTAAAATTGCTTTATTAAAAAAGACATATTGACAATTTGAAATAGTTATACAAGTGTCTATATGAAAGAGAAAGAAATAAACTTATTTCTCGAATTTCACTTCGTTCACCTACACGTTTCAATATGAGCCCCGCTGCAGTTTCATTCTTATCGTACATGGCATAACATTTGTTTTTGTACGGCAGCGAGTATGTGATGTTTTAATATCACGAATCACGATTCCAAGCCAACGCAACGTTGCAGCGTTGCAGATCGTTATAAGAAATAGACTGTTATGAGTGTTATGTATAACTATCACGTTGCAGCGTTGCGGTTCAAAGGTACTCTATGCGTTGCGGATCGTTATAAGAAATAGACAGTTATGAGTGTTATGTATAACTATCTATACGTTATATGGTAAATAGACGTTTCCATAACTGTCTATACGTTATAATGCTCATAGCTATTGTCTGTATCAAATAAATTATTATTATTATTATTAACTAGAGATACAAAATCAAGAGTATCTAACATACCTTAGGCCTCTGTATAACCGGTTTTCTAAACGGATTAATAACTCTAGCCTCTGAAAATAATTGATCCTGGTCCCCATCATAGAAGCGCTCCATCAACTTTTCTTTGTCCCATTTAAAATGATTAAGAAGTATCCGGGTAGTTGTTGCTGGTATCTATAGTAAAAAAAAAATCTTAATAACAATAATTTATAAATTAGTAATAAACTCCTTTAAATTGAAAGAATCTTAAATTAAGCAAGCAAATGCCAATTTTATTATAAATGTCAATTACATGTATTATATTACTTCAATGTACAATTACAAAACATTAAAAATATATATGATTAGTTCTATAGGGATATTCAATAAGGACATGTAAAATTAAAAATTTCAAAACCCAACTTCAATATAAATAAAATGAGAATATCATCAACATAGTCTATATCAATTAAATACTCATTATTAAGGATATCTCAAGAATTCCTGGTCAGATGTTGATCAAATTTATGTGGGACCAAAAGAGAAGCACCGGATTTCAAATAAAAAAAAGAATAATCAGATCACCTAGAAACACACATATAAAAAAATATACAGTTGAATTGAGAACCTTCTCCTATTTTTGAAGTTGATTGAAAATAAAAATAATCTTAGTAAAACTAGATAATGCCTTCCTGTTAAGGAATAAAAAATAAAGTGCCTAACTTTAATTTTTTCCTTTGTCAATTGAAAAAAAAAATCTTTACATACATTCCATACAACACAAAATTGAAAGTTTTTAATTATCAAATAAGAGAGCTCACATCTATTAAGCTCTCAGCTCTATTAAGCTTGATAATTAAGCTAACAACAAGAGAGGACCAGAGGTCAATTTAACAGCAGACATTTATAGACTGGTGAGAAAAACAAAGAATAGTTTAAAAATGCCCTACAAATGTTAAATATTTTTTTATGCAAAATATTGTCATACAATTTGATATTATAAGAAATTTTGCATTTGCTTCACATTGTTTACATTGAAAATTTTAAATTGGACAAACTATAATTGTGTAAGATTAATTATAAACAATATCTATCAAAATATATCATTTATTTATAAATTGGAGCACAAAACAATGTAACAAAAAGTATAAATCTACTGTAATGTAATTTCAGTAACTTCTTTTGTAATAATTTAACTTTGCGTAATCAATTGATGTTTTAAAACATAAATAACATGTTATTATATTATACTAACAATAAAATGATAACCTAAAATAGTACTGTTATAAAATGTTATTTTGTTAGGTAGTTTATGTTGGTAAATATACTATAACAAAAATTTTAACCCTAAGTATCTTGAGTGAAAATGTAGGAAATAAGACTTGTAACTTAAGTCGAAAAGTTACTGAAATCATCCAGAAAACATTAAAATGTGTTATCATAATAACATTCAAATAAAATATTTTAAATACATTTTGTGTTTTGAATAAATCTTAACTATTGTTTTAAAATAATATTATTATTTATTGCTTTGTTGTTTTGATTGTTCTGTTATTAGATACCAAAGGAAAATTTTAACTTCTCCTTTTTTTATCTTGCAATAAGTTGTAAAAGTGTATTAGTAACTTCCATACGATACAAATCTAATAAAGAAAGTTGCTTTATTGGTGCCACAAACTGATGCACTATTAAACGAGTAACCTCATTCAGACAATTCATTGTTTACCAGTAACATACTGACCTCTACTACTGTATTCACTTCTTTAATACAATCAACCATGTGCTGCACGATTTCCTCCGTAGATAAAACCTCGTAAGGGTATTCTTCTAGCTCCGTTTGTCTTTCTCTTGTACTATGTGTCTCGTCCATGACAAAGTCGACATCGTCTCCGCTAGACTCATTACCAGAATCCACATCATCCTTTGTATCGTCTTCGGAGTCCATTGTCGAAACCAAATAATTATTAAGTATTTGATAGAAAAAAGAACACAGCCAAACACTGCTTAAGATGAAATAATTACACCTAAGATTTAGGAAAGGTCAACAATGAAGAAAATAGTTCACCCACGGGCTGCCAAAATCTCTGACGTATTTGTAATTTTGTAGGCATTAGGCAATGTCTATGACGTCACTCTATTCAATGGCATTGTCTATGGCTAATGATAGCTTTTTTAGCACAAACTAATAATGAATGAAGTGTTCTTTTATATCGGCCCATAGAATCGGAATTTCGTTTCGAGAAACCGTTTCAGAATATCGATTCGGGATAAATTTTAGTAAAATTGCTTTGTAATAGCTTGCTGTAAAGTAATAGTTGATATTACAGTAAATATTTTAGTCGATTTTAGTATTGTGACTAATAGTAAGTAATTTTTTTAGTTAATTTTTCAGTGTTCTTAATTATTGCTAAAGCTTGTTTGCTATTTTCTTTTTCTTAATATATTAATTATAGAATACGAATTTGTGTTTTAGTATCTGTCTTCCTCCAAGTTTGGTTTTATAAGGCGGCAAAGCTTAAGGTGATAAGGATCATATTAGTCTGCGGGTCACCATATTACCCTCACGTACCGTATTAACATTTGTTTGCAGGGCTGAATTTTCAATCGTCAAATAACTTATCTGAAAAATAAATAATGTGTCTGACAGTTTTATGGCTTTTGTGTAGATAGAAATTAAATTCCGTAGCCTAATTGCGTAACACACCTAAATGGAAACAATAACTATTCGACAGTTTAACAATATCCATTGCGATTTTTTTGCTGTCGAGCAAACGAATGTTTCAATCACATGAAGCAATGGATATTGTTGGGTTGTCAAATTAGTTTTGGATTGCTATCCCTTAAGTTTCGCTTGAGCTGCTTCACCGGGCTTCACCGCATATGTACATAAGTGTACATATGCGGTGAAGGCCGGAAAAAATCTGTAGCAGTGCATACACTACTACAGATTTTTTTGTGTTAGGTACAGTCAAATAAAGATTTGAGTACGTAGACAGCTAACTTACAACTTGTTTTTAACGATGTCCTGAGTGTGCTAAGTACTTACTCAAGTTTTCTACATCATTTATAAGTGTGAACAAAGTTAAAAAGTTATAACGCACACAATAAAAATGAATTTTGAGAGAGTCGTGGGAAGATGAATATTTTTGCTTGTATACCAAATACCTTTGTTTACTGTATAATATTACTGGGATGGAGATCTCTGATCCCATTGAGTTATACAAGTCTAGAGGAGCAAACCACATTACCGCGCGTCGAAAAAAGTGAAACCACTATCTAACCGCGAGGACGTAGCTTTGAAATCACTAAAACTTTTTAAGTAAACATATATCTGTCTCACTTACACAAGTCGCGAAAACAATACCGTCGCTATGATTAGATAAAGATAGACACACAAACATGCAGTGACGGGTTGGTATTGCCTACTAAATGAAATTTTACCCAAAATAAGCAATAAAAAGGAGTTTTTTTTAAGCTGCTTTTTTAATTTTAAATATATATCTTTGCTTATCCGATGAATAGAAGTACAACTAAAGATATGAAAGATATTTTTTTCATAATATCTTTCATTGTACTAACAAATCAAATAAAAAAATAAATCAAGTAAAAAAATCAATTTTGGGTTTCTTATCCAAGAAGATTTGAGTTTGAAATATGCATCGTCAGAGAAAGCATCGGCAAGTCTTTGTCTCCTAAATTTGGTCTCATGACATTAGCTACAAAAACTGTGGTTATTAATATTTTGACAAAGACATGACAAAGTCGACATCGTCTCCGCTAGACTCATTACCAGAATCCACATCATCCTTTGTATCGTCTTCGGAGTCCATTGTCGAAACCAAATAATTATTAAGTATTTGATAGAAAAAAGAACACAGCCAAACACTGCTTAAGATGAAATAATTACACCTAAGATTTAGGAAAGGTCAACAATGAAGAAAATAGTTCACCCACGGGCTGCCAAAATCTCTGACGTATTTGTAATTTTGTAGGCATTAGGCAATGTCTATGACGTCACTCTATTCAATGGCATTGTCTATGGCTAATGATAGCTTTTTTAGCACAAACTAATAATGAAGTGTTCTTTTATATCGGCCCATAGAATCGGAATTTCGTTTCGAGAAACCGTTTCAGAATATCGATTCGGGATAAATTTTAGTAAAATTGCTTTGTAATAGCTTGCTGTAAAGTAATAGTTGATATTACAGTAAATATTTTAGTCGATTTTAGTATTGTGACTAATAGTAAGTAATTTTTTTAGTTAATTTTTCAGTGTTCTTAATTATTGCTAAAGCTTGTTTGCTATTTTCTTTTTCTTAATATATTAATTATAGAATACGAATTTGTGTTTTAGTATCTGTCTTCCTCCAAGTTTGGTTTTATAAGGCGGCAAAGCTTAAGGTGATAAGGATCATATTAGTCTGCGGGTCACCATATTACCCTCACGTACCGTATTAACAATTTTTAAAACACCGCGCACAGAGGAAACCAAGATAATAGTAAACACTTTATACTGAACTAGCTGTATTGGCAGTATCGCGTGCCGAGCCTAATGTAGAACTATTTTAATTTTTTATTATCTGTTAAACTGTGCGTCCAAATAGCTATAAAGAACAAAATTTATCTTCATAAAATTGTCTTGATGATGAAGTAACTTTCGTTCGTGAGGATTAATTTTTCATGTCTAATAATAACACCCATATTATATATCTTTAATTTTCAATATTTTTTTTCACAAAGTACCTTACTGTGGCTTATTACCTCTTATTTATAACAAATAAGACGTTCACAATGGAATCGCAATCAGAAAATTATCGTCATATTCGCTGGCAGAATGTCAAGACTCAATGGCTAACGTCTTTCAACTAAGCCTTGTTATTCCGAAGGGAAATAAATGTATGTGTGTGATGTATGTACGGAATAACGAATCGGAATTCCTAAACTGAATCCCGAATGTATGTGACGGCCCTAAGATACAATAGAAATAGGAGTTCTGTGGTAGACGACCTGACAACCCGAAAATGAGTAACCAATTTCGATTTGTCATTGTGTGCATTAGCTAGTGATGCACATTTTACTTACAAGGACTATCGAAAAATTATTGTTAAGGAAGCCGTAAAAAGATTTAAAAAATGACTTAGTTCACGAAACTGAATAACTTCAAAAATTTACTGAATTTTGCCTTCATGTTCTAAAATAATTAAAAATACACAAATAACATGTTCCCGGGAATAAGCTGCACCTACCTGCCTCTTGTTAGATTTTAATTCAAAATGTACAAAGTCCAATAATCTCTGAAGAGGTGAGTCTACCGATAAACTTAAATAATTTCCCCCAAGAATCAGATCGGAAAATTATATTTTCGAGCTATGACCTTTGCAGAAAACTTTATACCCATGGACAGTTTCCCCGGAATTTCTTTTTTAACATATTAGTTGGATACTTAATTAAGTATATACCTATTTATAATTTATATATTTTATAAAATGTTTTGCTATTGAAATAAAAATGGGGTCACGGAGTACATAATGGCTGCTTTATTTTTCATATAACTATTACTTAATGATTTATTTATATTTACGCGAAGATTACACATTAAATGAAATTAATTTTTACCGATTTTATCGCGTTTAATTTAATTTTTTAATTCCAGACGTTTCGGGTGCTTTACAGCACCCATGGTCACGGGTGCTGTAAAGCACTGAGGTGTTTGACGTACCGAAGTCATAGTTAGCCCGGCTACTTTCAGTTTTTGAATATTAATTTTTGGTCCGATCTATGCAGAATGAACTTACAGTATCTTGAAGTCTTGCAGTGGTATGCTTGAGTTTGGATTTAATTTTATTAATTATAGGATCCCAAGCAGATGGCAGCACCCATCCATTTTCCCTATTGAAAATAGGATGTTTTTAATTTTAATAGCCTCGCAAATCATCCTTCGTAGGAATCAGTGTTCTTTTGCGACGATTTGTGGTCTATCAAATCTAATGTAATGGCGGTAAAATTGTGAAAATATCACCATCTGACAAAGTAACATTTTTAGACCACCTTAATTCAATAAACTCTAAAATACAATTCACAATGGAGTTACAGGCAAACAATTCTTTAGCTTTCCTAGATGTTTTAGTCATCCGAAATCCTGATAACACTATTGGTCGGACTGTGTTTAGGAAAAAGATCCATACCAACCGATATTTAAATGGTGAATCGCACCATCATCCATCACAGTTAGCTACCGTGAGAAAATCTTTGTTTCAGAGAGTACGAGGGATCTGTGACAGGGCTAACTATGACATCAGGACGTCGAACACCTCAGCCCCCTCCTCCCGTGACCATGGGTGCTGTAAAGCACCCGAATCGTCGGGAATTAAAAAGTTAAATTAAACGCGATAAAATTCGTAAAAATTAGTTTTATTTAATAACTATTACTTTTAATAATTACAAATATTTAATAATTAATGATTAAATACATTATATAAATTAATTTTAACATTCGACTTAAATATAAACTTAATAATTTAAGTAAGGAAACTTGTAGGAATCAGTTAAATAAGATTGCTCTGTTAAGAGGCGCTGTGAGATAGCGTCAGTAGCATAATGGCAAAGCGCGGACGCCATTCGACTACTGTCGTGAACCACTTCTAACACAAGCATTTTAAGCTTACCAGAAGTGGTTAAAGAGAATATTAGTAATTAGGTCATTGTCAAACCAATATCTACTGTGCAAAAAGTATACTTTTGAGATATTAAAGAAAAAGTTCTCCTGTAAAATTAAATTTGAAGGTGAATTTTAAAAACCATATCAAGTTGAAGTCATAGATATCATACGTAATTTTATTTGTGTTTTGAGTATTTAGATTATTTACTTTATTTTATATTTTTAAATCACATTATTTTTTCCACATAACAGATTTTAAATTGGCAATTATTTGGCACATAACAGGT